TGTTGAATTATAACGTATTTTGGAGAGGGTGCCAACTATTTTGGACTGGATACTTTTTTTTGTAATGTGTTAGATGTGGGGTTTTAAATTTCAAGTTGCTGTCAAGGTGCAGACCCAGAAATTTTCCTTCATTATGCTTAGCAATAAGAGTATTATTAATCATAATATTTAATTGGACATTATTTGCTCTACTCCCAAACATAACGTAGTTTTTTCATTGCTAAGTGTGAATGCATTGGTAGTCATCCAGGTTGATAATTTTATGAGCTCTTCGTTAATAATGCTGTTAAGTGATGCTAAATTTGGGTGGGAGATGACAAAAGTTGTTTCATTGGTAAAAAGAATAGGCCTAAGTTGCTGAGAAATGTTTGAAAGACAATTAATATATAAGAGGAAAAGTAAGGGGCCAAGGATGCTTCCCTGTGGAACACCAATGTCTGCCCCTCTAATTCCTGAACAAGTGAAAATGTGTATTACTTGCCAGTCATGCTTATTATGCCTTATATCTACAAGCATAGCATAGCACTTTGTCTGGATTTTTTTTGAGTTATCCTTGGTAATTTACACTATGTATAAGTGTATTTATGTGTACCTGTGAGATTGAGACACAGATAGACAGAGATAGATACAGACAGACAGAAGGAGATAGAGTCAGCCAAAGCAAATCAGCCAGCCAGCCAGCTGCCAGCCAGCCAGCCAGCCGGCCAACCAGCCAGCTGGCCACCCAACCAGCTGGCCTTGCCGAACATGTATCACACGTTTCAGAATTGTTTCTCTTTACTTAGGCCATACAATATACAACATTGTGGCAGGATGACATTAACAGTGGTATTAAAATTGAAAGGATGTTACACATTGGTTATTATCAATTTTTTTTATATTTCCTTGGTATCTCCTGCAAGTGGCAGTGTATCTGAAGCTCACTCATAACTTGGATTTTGGCTCACAACTCAAAGCAAAAAATCGACTGAGCGATGGCTTGTAACTCGGAAAACTCATAAGTTGGGGCACTCGTAAGTTAGGTACCACTGTATATTAATCATGTCCCTGAGGCCTCTCGTATATTATACTTGCCTTCCATTTTATAATCATGATAATTTTTATTTCAACATGATAAAATGTATAAAGATGGGTGACATTTAGGTGTGCATGCAGAAAGCCCATTGTTATGCAGAGCATTTTGGGCAAACTTAAGCTTAAGAATGGTGCTGCCATCATCAACAGCAGCAGCTTCATCAGCAGTGATCTCACCATTATTAGCAGTGATCTCACCATTATCAGCAGTGAGCTCACCATTATTAGCAGTGAGCTCACCATTATCAGCAGTGAGCTCACTATTATTAGCAGTGAGTCACATTCACATGCCACTATTATTAGCAGTGATCTCCCCATTATTAAGTGATCTCACTATTATCAGCAGTGATCTCACCATTATCAACAGTGATCTCACTATTATCAGCAGTGATCTCACCATTATCAGCAGTAATCTCACCATAATCAGCAGTAATCTCACCATAATCAGCAATGACATCACCATTCTCAGTAGTGATCTCACCATTAGCAGCAGCATTAGCGCAAGGTAAATTCCATTTGTCAGACTACAAATTAAGTCACAAATAAATTTTGATGACCTATTTAGGCCAAGAGAGACAAGAGGAGTGAGAACAATAAGGTTTGATCCAAGGAAAGGAAGCTTTAGTTCCTAGAATCAAAACCCCTTCACCTTGTTAAAGAAGCCTTTGAAGTATTATATACCAATAGTGTATTAAAACCAATGGAAGAAGATATTCAATGTTTAATAACAGTTTAACCTAACATCCACTACAGTGTAAAGTGATACGAGGACTCAAGTACATCATACAATTAGAAAAACTTTACTGGAGTGACTGAGGTTCCACAACCAAAACATATCCAATAATAATGTCCTATTTTCACTCAATATAGTCTCTATCTTTGGTGTGATGTACAATACATTACACATTAAGTACACATTGTTGTGCCTTCTATGGTGATGCATCTATGCAGGATCAAGTTTTACTACAAATGGTAAATACTATACACTTTTCTTCAGTTACAGTAGGGCCCCACTTATACGGCGGGTTAGGTTCCAGGCTACCGCCGTAAAGCGGAAATCGCCGTAAAGTGGAACACCCTTTTTTTCCACTTATAAATGCATACAAACACTAGATAACAAGTTTACACTAACATATATTAAGTTAGCAATAGAACCAGGCATCAAAAAACAATAAAAAGGTACAATACACACATAGTGCACTCATTACTTACCTTAAAATATTTATAGTCTTAATCTAGGGTGAGACAAGTAGTATTTATTGTAAGAAATCAAGTGTGGTATGTATTGTAATAGGCAGGCTATTTCACCAGGCCACCCCACCCACACATACTATTCTATGATATTTAAGCATCCCAGAGCGATAAAATGTATATACAGTTCACTCATTACTTACCTTAAAATATTTGTAGTCTTAATGTAGGGTCAGGAGTAAGTAAATGAGATAAAACGAATAAATGAGAGAGAGAAAGAATGAATACATGAGAGGTGACAGGCCAGGCACAGAGTAAACAAAACAATGAGACTCCGTGACTATTGTTATTATTACCACTTGTGGAAGTCTCTGCTACCACAGATCACATTTATGTTTATTTATTCTACTGTGGGGTGTATTTATCTTATTTATATGTTATGCATCGTGTTTATTATATAATTTTGAAAAAAATATCATGGATGGATTAATGAAAATGTGTATATTAACGTAATATACGACATTTAAATGACTTGATGTGTGTAAGTTTATTTAGGTACAGGTATACATAAGTATAATTATCAGAGTATATATAAAATATGAAATAACTTTTAAAAACATTTGAAATTTTGGAGTTTCCAGACAAAATGGAGAGACTTAGTGCTTACTGAGCTCATGGAGAATGTAAACAAACAGGGTGGGGCACGGTGACCGTATTAGAAAGTCAGGTGGGGGGAGCCGTATAGTGAGTTTTGGTCATAATTTGAAATGTCCGTATTAGCGGAACGCCGTAAAGCGGAACGCCGTAAAGCGGGGCCCTCCTGTATATGGTAATAAAGTAAACTCTCCATATAATGGACTAATTGGGGGGTTGATCGAGTGTTCATTAACCCGTAAACGGTCCAAACGTATATATACGTTTTTTCAACATTTGAAAGTATGTAAAAAAGGTAGATCTTCTTTTTGTTTTTCTACATTTGAAAATGTGTAAAAAAAACTTCGATCTACTTTTTTTTTTGTTATATTTGAAAATATGTAAAAAAAACTTACATCTACTTTTGTAGCACTACACATGTGAACGTAGATCTGCTTGGACCGTTTACGGGTTAAATCAGAACTGTGTTAAAAAATAACAAAAACGATGCACTTAGGTACTCTAGTTTTTACCTAAAATAGTACTGTACACACAATTTACAGATATATTGAAATAAACATTGAAATAAAAGAAGATGGAAGTGCAATATACAGCAGATATTGCCCATTATTTTACAAGTTCATTATATTAAGGGTTGTTATACCAAGGTTTATTCTAATTCAGTGATATTTACTGATTATTAATTTACAGCAATCTGAAGAAATGTTTTATTTTCTAACATACTGGCCATCTTCCACCAAGGTAGAGTGGCCCATAGAAGAGGAAACACATTCACCATCACTTATTCAACTGTTGTTATGCCAAAGGTGTATTAATATTACAGTTAAGGTAGCCCTCTAAACTACAATATTGACACCCCATATTTAGAGTTCAGGCACTGCACTCACCATCTCTAGTACTCCAGTCTAGCTAACCAGTTTCCCGGAATACCTTCATAAATGTTACCTTGCTATTATTCCAACAGCATGTCAAAACATAAAAATGACTTGTCTACACTTACTCTGATCTAAAGCACTTGCACAAACCTGCTGGATGTTCAAGACCCTAGATCACAAAACCACCTCTATCCCTTCCTGAGATGACCCCCCCTCCTCACCACTCCAGATTTATTACCCTTTTAATTGTCTTATTTTGCTTCAATCCATTCTAAGATGCGAAAACCACCACCTCAGTCATGTCTTGGAATTTACATATTTTTGTAAACTCCCACACATCTCTCTGCTAATTTCCATGCTCCAAATTCTCTGCATAATATTCACACCACATTAACCTCAAACGTGATATCTCTGCTGTCTCCAGCTCCATCGCTGCAACATTATATAATATATATAAGTGTGGTTACCACTATACTCTGGTACCTCCCCCTTATTGCCTCTATTGATAGAGTTATGTCTCCACAGATGCCTCAGTGCACCACTATTTTCTCCTTCCTCTACTCCATGTTTCACTATCTTTCACAGACCCATCTGCTGACAAATTCAATGCCACTTTCTAAATATAAAATTCCTCCATACTCCCTCTAATCTGATATCCAATCATTAACTACCTTTTTTTGTTATTCTTATCATCTTGCTTTTTTCCTATCCTTGTTTTTAATTTCTTTCTTTTACATATGCTCCTAAATTTATCCAACCAACCTTTGCAACTTCTCAGAATCTCCCAAACTGAGTTGTGTCATCAGTACAGACTCCCACTTTTTATCCAGTTCAATATCTTTCAGTCCTTCACCTCTCCTGAACACCTTACCATTCACTACTTTTACAGCCCAATCTATAAATATGTTAAATCAAGGTGACATCCTACATCCCTGTCCAAGGCCTAATATTACTGGAAAATAATCCACCTCTCTTTCTCCTGCATATCCTAACCATATCTATACTGCACTCCATATCTGCAATATGCCAATGCCTTCATCTAATCCACCATTTTATGCCACTTTATAAGCTGATAAACAATCACAAAAAAGTTCCTTATCTTACATACTTCAATGAAGAAATGCTTGCAGTTAAACAACATACACCCTCCGCTTCGTAATTACTGTGAGTTTTCTTGTTTATCCTATAACGGCATGTATTAATAAAAAAAAAACCTATGATACGATACTGAAAAGTTGCCGAGTACACATACAATGATAGATATGTTTATTGTTGAAACATTTTGCCTGCACAGCAGGCATCATCATCCAATACAGTGATAACAACACAACAAACAGTAAAAGTGGAGAGTTTTAAGATAATCAGTACCTGAAAACTCTCTCTCTATTCAATTCGGTATTCGACTGATGAATCCTACTACACAATGAAACATTTCAACAATACACATACCTAGCGTTGTATGCGTCTTCGTCACCTACTGTCTGTCTTGTCTTTAACTATCAATAATGATTCTACCATACATTTTATCTGATGTACTCAACAGATTTATTCCCCTATTAATTTTTACACTCTCTCTCTTGTCCCAGTTTCCCTTCTACAATAAAACTATGCATGCTTTTTGAATCCTTATGTACCCTCTTTTCTTTTATGCATATATTAAACAAATACACCAACCACCACAAACTAAGTATATCCCCACCAGCGTCATCTCAGATGATTCTATACCTCTGACAAATGCATGAAATCACTGTTTCCCCTTCAACATTTAACAGCTTCTTAAAATAGTATTTTATCTTTCTTCCCAGTATCTACACTTTCGTATCTGCTATCAAGTCCATTTATACCCTAGACTTAACCAACTAATCTCACTCCAAAGCTTTGTCTTATTCTCAGCAAAATTTGTGTGGAAGTAACCACAGAAAATTTAAAAACTGCTCTGTACTTTCATGCACACTTTCTTGGATTAAGTTATATTTAAGAGTATTTTTCTACTTTTGGATACCTACTTCAAAAATACATGAACAGTCATAATAGTTAAGTGTAATGTATCCCTGTCCATTTTGTGAACAAAACTGTTCTTTTATCAGTAGCCTGGTCACAGACCGGGCCGCGGGGGCGTTGACCCCAGGAACTCTCTCCAGGTAAACTCCAGGTAAACACATGAAGCCAAAGCAATAAATAAATTAATCTACAATAATCTTAAAACGTGCTCCTTAGTATCATATACTGTAATGTTCAACATGCATCTTAGTACAACGTACAGTAATGTTCAACATGCATCTTAGTACCACATACCATAATGTTCAACATGCATCTTAGTACCTCATACTGTAATGTTCAACATGCATCTTAGTACCTCATACTGTAATGTTCAACATGCATCTTAGTACCATATACTGTAATGTTCAACATAGTTCTACTTAAAACTTAATGTCAAAACTTCTTTTTTTGATGGAGCAACAAATCAGCTTCATAATTAGCATTATAATTTTTATGGAATAAATTTATCAGTGCTCCAGAATGAAAAATATTAGACACTGGACACAGATCCATCCATCCATCATATATAACTTATGAGTACAATTTTCAGAAAAGTTTAGTGACACTGAGATATGGTTTCTTTTACAAATAATCTCATATGCACTAATTTCATTTACATAAATGGACTTTTATACACTTGGAGCACTGATACAATTTTCCCATAGGAAATATTAAAACAAATTACTAGATCAGACATTATAATGTCTTCTAATCACCATGAGGCCTGGTCTCAGATCAGGTTGCAGGGGCATTGGCCCCTGCAACCCTCTCCAGGTACACTCTGTTATAAGTCTTTTAGACTCTAAAATTGTTTCTCTCTAGTGTGAATTTTCTTGTGTGATGTTAAATTAACCTTATGGGAAAAGTATTTTAGACAGACTGAACACTGATATGGTTTTTCTCCAGTATGAATTCTCTCGTGTGATACTAACTGAGACTTTTGATGAAAACCTTTTAGACACACTAAGCACTGATATGGTTTCTCTCCAGTGTGAATTCTCTCATGCGATACTAAAGTAGACTTTTGGGCAAAGGCTTTTAGGCATATTGAACATTGATAAGGTTTCTCTCCAGTATGAATTCTCTCATGCTTTATTAAAAGAGGCTTTTCAGAGAATTTTTTGAGACACACCGAACACTGATAACGTTTCTCTCCAGTGTGAGTTCTTATGTGACATCTTAGATTAGCTTTCGTTGAAAAATTTTTTAAACACTCTGAACACTGATATGGTTTCTCTCCAGTATGAATTCTTAAATGGTTGATTAAACCTGCATTTTGTGAAAAAATTTTTAGACACTCTAAACATTGAAATGGTTTCTTTTTAGAATGAATTCTCTTATGTGATACTAAATTAGACTTTGTTAAAAAATCTTTTAGACACACTGAACATTGATGTGGTTTCTCTCCAGTATGAATTTTCTCATGTGATACTAAATGAGACTTTTGGGAAAAGGTTTTTAGACACACTGAACACTGATATGGTTTCTCTCCAGTATGAATTTTCTCATGTTTTAATAAAACATTCTTTTCTGAAAATCCTTTTAGACACACTGAACACTGATATGGTCTCTCTCCAGTATGAATTATCTCGTGTCTTATTAAATTCTCTTTCTGGACAAAGTCTTTAAGACACATTGAACACTGATATGGTCTCTCCCCAGTATGAATTCTCTTGTGTCTTTCTAAACGAGAGTTTTCTGAAAATCCTTTTAGACACACTGAACACTGATATGGTTTCTCTCCACTATGAATTATCTCGTGTCTTATTAAATTTGCTTTTTGAATAAAGTCTTTTAGACACACTGAACACTTATATGGTTTCTCTCCAGTATGAATTCTCTTGTGTCTTACTAAATGAGAATTCTTGGAGAAGGCTTTTAGACACAGTGAACACTGATATGGTCTTTCTCCAGAATGAATTTTCTTGTGCCTTGCTAAATAAGATTTTTTGGAAAAGTCTTTCAGACACACTGAACATTGATATGGACTCTCTTCATCATGAGCTCTTTTGTGATTTATTAAATTTGATTTATCTGGAAAGTCTTTGAGACATACTGAACACTGAAATGTTTTTTCACTTGTAATAATTCTAGTGTATGATATAAGCTGAGACATGTGTGAAACATCTTTAAAGCATTCTGAATACTGAGTTAGTTTTTCTTCTTTGTGATCTATAGTTTGTGTCGCTTGAACGGATTCTTTTTCAAGTGTTTCAGACATACTGAATACCTAACTAAATATAAAATTACTATATTTTTTAATTAAAATTAAAATTACTATATTTCTATAATACTGTATTTTTATATTATGAACAAGTGGAAGCCCTAAACCTGTATGTGTTATACCATGCCAGGAAAATATAAAAAATTAGATGTAAGTTCTTAAAGCTTTCTCAAAAGTTCTGAAAAATGTATAGAACATTGATATACGGTGATTTTATCGTATTCACGTGAAGGTACTCAGACTTCAATAGTCATGCATTCACGATGTAAAAATAAATTTGACTCACAAAAAAGTTTTTTCTCTGCAGCAGTTTAAATAATTCTTATGTTAAGTTATTTTATCAATAACCTACATTATGAAGTTTACTAACAACAAGTGCAAAGAATGTTTTTTTTAGTATTGAGTAAACATTTAAATAAATTAAATTATATTTATCATACAACACAGCATGATAAATATAATTATTCCCTCAAAACTAAGCTTTAATGAGTTTCAGCCACAGTATAATACAATGACTGGTAAAAGTCAGGAATATAATTGTGAGAAACTAGAACTCAAATAACATAAGTAACATCACATGTATTATTGCACTGTTGGTACATAGTGCTCTTCCTAAGTACAGTGGACCCCCGGTTAACGATATTTTTTCACTCCAGAAGTATGTTCAGTGCCAGTACTGACCGAATTTGTTCCCATAAGGAATATTGTGAAGTAGATTAGTCCATTTCAGACCCCCAAACATACACGTACAAACACACTTACATAAATACACTTACATAATTGGTCGCATTCGGAGGTGATCGTTATGCGGGGGTCCACTGTATATTGCAGTGTTTATGCCACTTACACAAGCTTCATTACACTATCAGCAGTACAGGGGTAAATCCTCTGGTGAGCTGCAAAAGAAAAAAGAGAAAGAAATAACCAACACATTCACCAAACATTAAAAAAATATTTACCAACAATTATGTTAGGTTAAACTTTTGCTGCAAGGACAATCACAGTTTCTAGCATAATATAACTATCTTTTAGGATTACAGGAGGGGCCCCAGTTTTGCAGCTGTTGGGTTCCTTACCCCAGCCAATAAGCAAAAATCACGTAACGACGTTGGTCGAGACATATGACAAGTTAAGTGCTCATATAGTCAAGTCGACGTAAAGCGTGAAACTATGTCGGGATTGTGATTAGATTAAGGAGGAGTTTGCAGCTTGGGTTCTTAACCATAAGAAAATGGCATTGGAATATCCCTGTGCTCATATAGCAGCAAAAAATAGATCAATGAAAAAAATGACTACAAAAAAGCTAGCTCACACAATACAAATCAAAAAGCCCAAACCAAGACTCAATTGAAAATCACTGAAAAGAGGGAGGAAAAAACATGGAACCCTTCTGTGTGTAATTTGATCAATTTTGATTCATATACAAATACAATAAAATATCTCATAAATGGACTAACAGGAAGGAGGGGAGTGTACAATAATGCCAACTATCAACAATCTGAATTAGAAACAATATTTCATGATAACCAGTTGTCTTCTGAAGAAGTGGACTTTGTCCACTGATGCAGAAGACAACCAGACACTAAGAATACAGGTGCTGTATCCTGTAGTACTAAAGTACTGTACTGTATAGTAATTTTATAGTATCCTATGTAACTTAAGAGTAATTTTATTTACCTTAACTTGGTGAAGAGATGAGATGTAAACTACTGTTATTAATAATGGTGATTCACAATAAATCTTATTCTGTCAGAGGAGCTGTAAGCTCTACTACTGAAAACAATGTAGATGGCTGAGAAGATTTCCATGCCAATGAAACACCTCACTCAAACTTTTTTATTCCAGTACATATGTACCTGTGTATAGGTCAAGATTTTAAAACCAAAATTTCAAGCCAAAAGTCAGAGGTCAACGTATTCAAGAGTGTGGTATAAGCCACACTTAGAAATCACATTCCACCTTAAATATACAAATAAATTTGATAATACCCAGCAGGTCATGTTGGCTTCTCTCAATTTTACACAACTTAGAATAGAAAAGCACTGTGGTAGGCCTACTGTCTCATGCTCGGTAGGTCCCGCTCAAATCCAACATGAAGCAAGAAAATACTAGACTTTGTGAATCACAGCCCCAAACCTTAAGGATTCAGGTATCTGAACAAAAATTTTCTGAGTTAACAGTGATTGAGGACAGCAAAGCTATCCAATCAATTGTTGTCAAACATATGAAACAAATATTTTCACTCAACATCAAGATGGAAAAGGTTGTACAGGACTGGAAAAATAACAAATACAAATACAAACTCACAGAAGAGTGACTTGCTACGAAATCAAGTGCATCTAATGGAACAGCAACAGCTATCAGATACAGTAATCTTTAACAGTCCTCATTTGCCAGGTTACATAAACCAAAGTAACTGCTTGAATAACACAATTCATCTCAATAAATCTGAGTTGAGGGTAGTCATAGAGAGTACTCACATCAAGGAGGTGTGTTTGCTAGGCAAATAGGGTCAAAAACCATGTGTTAAGACTACATTCATATGAAACAAAAACAGACCTGATCAGTTCATCCTATCAACAAGAAGAGTCAAGTGTATGTTAATGAGTGACTTACTAGAAAATGACAGAACCTATTGTATAGGGTCAGGAAACTCAAACATAAACATAAAAAACTTAACCAATGATTCACATCAGTTGGTAAAATCATAGTAAAAAAAATCAGCCACAGGTCTCATACATGATATAACTAATAACCATGAACTAACCAGATTTCTTAAAGATGTCAACTTGAGTCTAAATATTACATTATCCCATGTTTAGGGCAATGTACCTACCTCATTCCTTTGCAATAATTTATTGCCATTCTTAACTTGTTATATTTATTTTGTTCTCCATAAGCTGTCTGCAAATTTCCAAGTACAGACCATCCTGTTGCCATTTCATCATGATACCAGTTCATTGTGTAACATCCTGCCTTGTACTTATTAGCACTGCTTTTTATTGTTCTGTTTATTATTTGTGTAATTTACTTGTACACTGATCACTGACATTGCGACCCATAATTTTTTATTATAGATAAATCCTGTGCCATTTAATCCCTTGTTTATAGTTCATTGTATAATTTCATTGTACACTACCCACTAACTTTTTGTTTTCCCATCATTTCTTTTTAATCACACTTTGTTATAGTTCACTGTGTAGCAACTTACCTTGTACTAAATAGCATTACAGACACTCCTCATTTAACAACCTATCTGTTTAACGACTGCACGGAGTTATGACCAGCTCTCGGACCAGTTGGTATTGTATGCTGTACAAGAACTTTGGTTGGGGAAGAGTTAACTAACAAAGACTTAATAGAGTTGGAAGCGCAGCAGCACTTGGAAGAGGAACAAGAGGAAAGAATGGAAGCACAGTGGTACCTCGGGATAAGAACTTAATTTGTTCCAGAAGGCTGTTCAAGTGCCAATACCAAACAAATTTGTTCCCATAAGGAATAATGTAAATTAGATTAATCCGTTTCAGACCCCAAAAATACATTTACAAAAGCGTTACATAAATACACTTACATAATTGTTCAAGTTTTGAGCTGCTCGTATCCCGAGGTACCAATGTACAAAAGAAGCTCACTGTAAAAGAGTTAGCTGGAGTGTTCTCGAACGTGAATGTAGAATGGAACTCGGTTAAGTGAGGAGTGCCTATACTTTTATTATTATTAGCAGTGATTATATTCAATTGTTTGCTATCCTGATTACTAGTTCACTGTACATAACAACACTGTTATTTCTTTATTTTATTTAGACAATATCAAAAAATTTTTTTTATTTACCTAACAAATTCTTTATCATAATTTATTATTATGGACAAACCCTGTTGCCACTTTTATCCTGATTACCAGTTCAGAGTCCATTATATTTATCCATTTCATGAATGCTCACACCAATCCTGATTTGAACCTCCTATATAATCTAAATCCTAACCATTACTTATCTGAAAGTAACAGTTTTTATTACACAGCAAACAAGAAAAAACTGTCCTCAGCAATGCCAGGAATATAATAATTTTTAACTACAACATTAGATCCCTGAGTAAGCACTATGACCACCTGGCACTCCTAGATTCTTTAAATTCAACCATCTCTTTTATTATACTTTCTGAAACCTGGCTTAAGCAAGTCACAACAGACATCCACACACTACCGGGATACACAGCCATTCACAACTGCAGGACAGATCAAATCGAGGGAGGTGGAGGGGGGTGCCATCTACTATTCTAACAAACTTTAATGTTGTAACACCACATGCTTCAGAGATGAATATGGTGAATATATATTTGCTAACTTCTCTGCAAAAAATCTAAAGACTTCCATTACACTTGGTGCAATCTACAGGATACCTCATACCAATATCCCAAACTTTAGTGACAACCAAAACGCCTAATAACAAACAAGCAATGGAACAAACACTACTTACTACTAACTGGTGACTTCAACATTAACCCTGGCCTAACAGATGACCAACCAGTAACAGAATTTATTAACAGTATGAAAAGTTCATTACACATACCAGCTATAACAAAACCAACAACGTTAGCTGAGTGCAACCATAACTGACTGTATATGGTTAAATATACTAGCTCCTCTCAAAGCATGAATAATAACAGATACAGGTGGGCCCTGCTTATACAGCAGGTTAGGTTCTGGGCTAGTGCTGTAAAGCAAAAATTGCTGTAAAGTGAAACACAGCTTTTTTTCACTTTCAAATGCAAATATTAAATAAACAATAGAGCTTGACCTAAAAAATGCATATACAGTACACATATTACATAAAATATTTTCATCCTTACCTTATAGTGAGTGGTGAAAAATTATCGCCCCCAATTCGGGAGACATCTTGTATAACATTCTACTGTTAAAATTATGCTACGTTTACTATGGCGGGACACCACCTTGTAAGAAGCTATTGTGTCAAGTAATTCTTCATAAAATGGCCAGAAAATTATAGCCTTCATTGTCGTTTAAATATCCGTTGTGAAATCGCAAAAAAAAAAGCAATTGCAACTTGTATAATTACTACCAATTCAGAGTCATGTACTTATATATCTGTTATATCTATGTGACTCTGATGGGTTAGTATTATACCCCTTCAAGAGTATTTTATTATTCCACAAACACTTTTTAAATTGCACCAAAATGGTTGGGCCACTTACCTTTTATATCCTACCTCTCTCCCCCCTCCCACCCTTTTCCAATATTTCTATCCTTACCCATCTTACCAAAGCTCTGGTCATAAGAAGAAGAGTGGTGAATATATTTATTGTAGGAAGTCTGAATGAAGAATGGGGATATATAACTGAAAACTGCTGCATTAGTGGAACACCATAAAGCAAAGTGCTGTAAAATGAGGCCTGGCTGTAATACTACTGATCACAACCCCCCACGTTCCTCCTAACAAATATTTGTAAGCTACCAGTGGATTATTATTATAATCAAAAAAGCGCTAAGCCACAAGGACTATACAGAGCTACCAGTGGAATATAGCAAGATCTCATTTTGTCTCCAGCCAGGCTGTGGCTTGTAAGTTGGATTGCGTGCAGCCAGCAGTAACAGCCTGGTTGATCAGGCTCTGATCCACCAGGAGGCCTGGTCACAGACCGGGCCGCGGGGGCGCTGACCCCCGGAACTCTCTCCAGGTAATGAATAACTTCACCGCAACACTAAGCTTAAATGACTCGCCTACATAATTTACCAGTAACAGAGGCGTTGACAAATGGATAAAGAATTTTCTAAAAAAACATAGGGACCTATAAGAATAACTAAGCAAATCATCTACTAAAAATAGGTAACTGATGGCAACAAATACGAGCCTAGATAATAAAAAATAGTAAAAACATATTATTCATGCGGAGCCTATTAATTAATATAACATAGTAAACAACTACAATGTACGGTCCTCATAGAGAATGAACTAGATTGACAACTGTAATTAGTAATTAAAAAACATGGTAAAACCGATTACATATAACCAAAAAACCTGTTGAACCCCCAGGGTAATGCTTATAGGAATTAACTTAAATTGGAACTGAACACGATTCAATTCCTATAATCAAGTACAACAAGATGGGGTATAAAAGGCCTGGAAAACACTTTTTTATCTCTACCTTGAATGTTTTACACAACAAAAACATTCGACCATCAGTCTTGCATACCTGGTTCAGCGGCAGGTCAAGAATAAATCTCATAAACTGTTTATTTCAGGTCGTTAAAGCTGAGTAATAAATAGCGAGGAAGCAAGAACATTCTGTGTTGTTATTAATGTTGTTGTTGTGGTTAAGGGTCACTATCTGCTGGAGGAGCCCTGAATAGATTACCGCATCGACCCTTATACCAGGTTTTGTGGGTTATTGCTTTACTGTGTTTAATGGTTATCGTTTAAATCCCACATTGAATTGCACCTGCCACTTTTCTGACCATGACATGAGCTTGTCTAAATCCACCTGAAGTTCTGTGGCATCTTCCTCTGAATCAATAATACTGTGATGTAGTTCAGCTGCGCTTGTGAGGTCTCTAGGGAGACCTAATTATATGGTCACCTTGCCTTGGCAAGTGGTTAAGCAGCCACGCCTTTTCGGCTTAAGTCTCAGCTCCTTTGTTCGTCACTGGCGTCAGATCTCGGTGTCAGGTCGTAACACGTGGTGCACACCCCATTGTGGAGGGTGCTTGGACCACCATATAAGCCCAAGGAAGAGCATGATCAAGAGACTTCGAGCGGAGCTGCTGCTGTGTGCATAGCTCAGGAGGAGCTGCTGGTGCGGTGCAGGGCTCGGGAGAAGGCTGCTGAAGTCTCTGGAAGAGACTGTTGGAGACATTAGGGAGAGTACTGGCTTCGAGCAGTACTCGTGCTGTGTAGGTCTTGGGACCTGTGGCTTAGTTTCTGTGGTGAACTGTCCTCTGAACTATATTGTAAGTTATATTCATTTTCGCCAAGTTGGTTGTATTCCTTGTCACACTGCTTATGTTTACTACTAGCCACAATAATGTTCTCCTGTTCCCAAATATATTATTGTACAAGGACTTAATAATAAACTGTTTGAGTAGAATTGTAATATTCACTGTCCCCATTATTTACTCATTTATTTTTATTTCAAGTAGTGAGAGGATGAGTAGTATGGTGAGTAGAGTAATGAGAGGTGAAGGTGTAGTCACCAGTGACCTCACATTACCTACCTCCGCTAATCATCTCACTCGACTTACCTCTCCTGCCTATCCCCTGCCTACATAATCCCTTACTCCCATATTTCCCGATTATCTTTACATTCCATTACCCCTTCCCCCTACATGCCTATTTTTGTATCGTCAGCGTATTTGTTCATATCACTTGTTATTCCCTCCTCAAGGTCATTAATGTTTTTTATAAACAACAATGGGCTTAAAACTAATCCTTGTAGAACACCACTTATGATTGATCCCCAGTCAGATTTCAACCCATTTGTGCACACTTCGTGTTGGTGAGCCATGCCTCGATCTATAATAATAATAATCTTTTTTTATTTCGGCATGATACAATGTTTGTATAGATAATAATAAAATCTTTATTTCTACAAGTTCATGTACAAGGTATAAGGGCCTAACAGACATCGATGACATACTACTGTATAGAAATCCCCTTGTTATGCAGAGCATTTCGGGAAAATTAGGTCAGTTTTGTCCTAGGATGCACTCACACCAGTCAACTAACACCCAGGTACCCATTTTACTGATGGGTGAATAGGGACAACTGGTGTAAGGAAAAATGCGCGATGTTTCTACCCTTGCCGGGAGTCGAACCACAGCCCTTAACGTGTGAAGTGAGGGCTTTGCCTACCAGGCCACGGGCCACGGGGCTGATATTTAGGTGTGTATGCAGAAAGCCCATTGTTATGCAGAACATTTTGGGCAAACTTAAACCTATCTTAAGACTAAAATGGCAATAACTAATTGATGGTTTACATATATACGGTCTCCAGGGGGCCATTAATAATAAATTTAGGAATTACAAGGCACACCAGAGATCTACTTAGAATATTTACTCATTTTATAACACATTTATCAAATTTAGTTGTTGTAAGGATTACAGGTTGGATTATGATTACAGATAATGAGAATATGAATGTACATCCTTTAATGTTTGTGGCTGAGAGACTTCCTTAGCATATTAACACTTTTTTATGCATTCATTATATTTAATTGTTGTAAAGATTACAGGTAATGAGAAAGAGAATATATAGTTTTTTATATGATTGTAGTTAAGAGCTGTGTTTAGCATATTAAAACATTTTCAACACATGACATTCATCATATTTAGCTGCGTTAGGATATATTAGGGAAAGGAGGTTTTTTTTTCTTAAGATGGTTTTGAAAATGCTGGCAGATACCTGGAGAGGGTTTCGGGGGACAACGCCCCCGCAGAACCCCGGAAGGTTACCAAAGAAAGTCACTGCGTCATCGAGGGACTGTCTTTCTTATTTCCATTGGAGTTCTCAGTCTTGCCCCCAGGATGCGACCCATACCAGTCGACTAACACCCAGGTACCTACTTGCTAGGTGAGCAGGACAACAGGTGTAAGGAAACACATCTAAATGTTTTCACCCTGCCGGGAATCGAACCCAGGCCCTCTGCGTGTGAAGCGAGAACTATGCCATCTAGGCCACAGGGGCCTCAGAGTGCACTGGGGACATATAATACCATTTAAATACGCACCACCATTAGTCAACTTCCTTCCACTTAGGTCGAGGTTTCTTTAAATCTAAAATCTAATCTTTTCCGGAACTGAAAGGCTGGATAGAGCGTAAGCTGTCAGTGGCCCTTTTAACAACAACAACACCAACAACCCAACAACAACAACAACAGCAGCTTAGATTGTTCTTGCTTCTTCACTGCTGTTATTTCTCAGCTTTAACGACCTGACATAAACAGTTTATGAGATTTATTCTTGACCTGCTGCTGAAGCAGGTATGTAAGACTGATGGTTGAATGTTTTTGTTGTGTAAAACATTCAAGGTAGACAGAAACAAGAGAAATGTTCCTGGGTCTTGTTGAACTATAAGTAAGTTTATTCAGGCATATACAGTTACATAAAATATACGTAACAGCATATGTGTAGGAACCTATGATCACCCATGGCTGAATGAGACATTACCTATGGCTGAGACATTACCCATGGCTGAGTGAGACATCACTAGAGAGAAAAATTCACCAGTAGTTTGCAAGGGTAAAAATTCAGTAATATAATCCACCTTGCGTGCAGCCAGCAGTAACAGCCTGGTTGATCAGACCCTGATCCACCATGAGGCCTGGTCTCAGACCGGGCCGCAGGGGCATTGACCCCCAAAACTCTCTCCAGGTAAACCCCAGTTGATACATTGTTAATGAAGACAGACTAACAAAATTTACAGTTAATTCTGGCCTATCTGAGTCAGATTAAGATGTAGTTTGTATCCATTTATCTCCACCAACAATGTTATGCTCCATCTATCTACAACTATCTTTCATTGTGTTATATTGTGTTTAAACTTTATAATATTCTTCAAATGCTTTTACTGTTTCCTGTTGCCAGCTGTTACCATTGTTAGCAATTTAAGCATTTAACAGTCAAACTGTTGATCAATGCATTACTGCTAGCACTCCAGACATTGAGTGTCGCACCGATTTTTCTGCATTCAAATTTGGTGCCATAGGTCTGAGAGGCCTAGACATGAGAGAATGGGTCTGTGCACTTGGTGTGTGCCATATTAAAAAATCAGGGATCCTACAGTACCACATGAGAGCATTGATTTGTTTAAGTACCAGCAAGGATAAACATCATGGCAAACCTTAGGGATTCACTCATGCCCCATTGTATCAACACTCTCATATTTGAGTAAAGTGATATGGAACATGAATTTGGTGGATTTGAGACAGACACAGCCTCAATGATCGAGGAAATATTGAAAATATCAATGATAACCCAGATGACCCTCAGCCCATTACATCAGGTGTGGCTACACCAGACCCCTCCACCCACCATCTCTGGGGTGGCCAGTGTGGCTACACTAGGCCCTCAGCCCAGCTCCTTTGGGGTGGCCAGCATTTCTAGTCAGAAGCTATGGTGTAATAAAAATTAACATTTTCCTACAGTTATGTTAATGATAATAGTGAAAGTGATATTAGTGATGACTAAATTGATTTTGTGCTTTTAGAAGAGTACAAGTGACAGTGGAGACAAAGAACTTTATCCTGGAGGCAAAGAGGGGAATGTATGAGAGTATAGTTTTGCCAACGCTCTTATATGGGTGTGAAGCATGGATGATGAATGTTGCAGCGAGGAGAAGGCTGGAGGCAGTGGAGATGTCATGTCTGAGGGCAATGTGTGGTGCGAATATAATGCAGAGAATTCGTAGTTTGGAAGTTAGGAAGAGGTGCGGGATTACCAAAACTGTTGTCCAGAGGGCTGAGGAAGGGTTGTTGAGGTGGTTCGGACATGTAGAGAGAATGGAGCGAAACAGAGTGACTTCAAGAGTGTATCAGTCTGTAGTGGAAGGAAGGCGAGGTAGGGGTCGGCCTAGGAAAGGTTGGAGGGAGGGGGTAAAGGAGGTTTTGTGTGTGAGGGGCTTGGACTTCCAGCAGGCATGCGTGAGCATGTTTGATAGGAGTGAATGGAGACAAATGGTTTTTAATACTTGACGTGCTGTTGGAGTGTGAGCAACGTAACATTTATGAAGAGATTCAGGGAAGCCGGCAGGCCGGACTTGAGTCCTGGAGATGGGAAGTACAGTGCCTGCACTCTGAAGGAGGGGTGTTAATGTTGCAGTTTAAAAACTATAGTGTAAAGCGCCCTTCTGGCAAGACAGTGATGAAGTGAATGATGGTGAAAGTTTTTCTTTTTCGGGCCACCCTGCCTTGGTGGGAATCGGCCAGTGTGTTAATAAAAAAAAAAAATAAGTGACTGTGATATCCAGTATTTCCCACTGAAGCACACATGTAGGCATTATTACCTGTGTTCAAGCAGTGTGCCATATGCAATCCCCAAGTGTCATGGGAAGCCAGGATAAAAAACCCTGGCCACTGATAGTGATATTGGTCATGAAGGGAATATGCTGGGATGGAGGAGGGGTGGGATAGGGCCTGCGTCACATGGTGTGCTGGGAGGGCAGATAACAAAAGACTGCCTGGCACCTACTAAACCACGTGCCACCTCCACTCCTGTCGCTAATCCATCACACCCCATGTAACACACCCACCATGCATCTTCAAACTGTAAATGGGATTGGGAAGAATGTGCAGCTTTTGTGCCACATCCTTTTAATTTTGATGTTAGTGGTAGTGGCATCCTCCCTAAATGTTCTATCACGAACGAGTCCTGGAGTTAGAGTACTTCCAACTGTAAAGTGGACCCCCGGATATGGTAGTTGTTGGATTTCGTAATATTCAGTAATCGTAACATTTTTTTTGTCAAAACATTGGCTCGGTGATCGTCATTTAGCTCGGTAATAATCATTCGTCCCAAATGCATACAAGCGGCTTGAGCGGCCCCACACACCATTTCACACCATTCACAGTCAGTCTGGCATTGTTTATCAGTGAGTGACTGTCACCCCACGCATTCATACGATACATTTTATAATCCATTCCTTTCAGTGCTTGCAACTGCTAAATAAGCCACCAAGGGCCCAAAAGAAAGCTCCTAGTGCCAGTCCTTTCCTAAAGAAGGTGACAAACATGATAAAATTAAAGAAAAAGGTTGTGGAAAAATGTGAAAGTGGTGGTGGTAGTGATAGTGGTAGAGGGTAGTAGTGGTTGTGATGGTGGTAGAGGGTGGTAGTGATGGTGGTAGAGGGTGGTAGTGATGGTGGCAGAGGGTGGTGGTGGTAGAGGGTGGTAGTAATGGAGATTTGTGCATTGTGGAGTATGATGGAAAGATTTGTGGAGGGACATCACCCTAACAAAGCTGTTGCAAGCCATGTCAGCAACATGTACAGTGACAATGTCTTGTCCCATTTTAGGGAAATTTTAAAGAGATCACAGAAACAGAGCTCCCTGGCCAGATGTGAGTCAGTAAGTCGAGTCAGTCAGTAAGTGAAGTCAGTCAGTCAGGTCAGATAGTAAGCTAAGTCAGTCAGTCAGTCAAGTCAATCAGTCAATCAGTAAGTCAAAGTCAGTCAGTCAGTCAGTTTATTCAGGTAGTTGTGATCTGTATGTCATTCTTTTCAGGAAGTGACAACTTGGGTTATTCATTACACAAGCCCATATATTTTCCTCACTCTCTTTAATTGTATGAACTGATGCTTTTATTTTATTACTGTCTGAAAAAGATTCTCTACCATTTTATAAGAAAAAATAGGAAATTTTTTTTTGAAAATTCTTGGACAGTGTGGATGAGTTTCAGATTGGGGGGGTCTGGACAGTGAAAGGGTTAAGGTAAGTATTGTATGTACTGTATATTTATTTTAATTTTGTATGTTTTTTTTTTTAGGCCTAGCTACATTGAGTACTTAATATATGTTGTCAAGCATTTAGTATGCATTCACTAGTGAAAAAACTGCTATTTTCTACTAGCTGGCAATTTTTGCTCATTGGTATGGGTCAGGAACCTACCTGCCAAAAACAATGGTGCCCTCTTTTATTATGCTTAACCTGGGAATGTCCCTGCAGGAAAAGTTTAACCTAACATTATTGGTAAATATTAATTTAATGCCTGGTGAATGTGTCATTTATTTCATTCGTTTTTTTTTCTTTTGCAGATCTTTGCAGCAGAGGACTTACACTTGCAGTGTCAATACTCAGTGTAATATAGCTTGTGTAAGTGGCATAGGAAGAGCACTATGTATCAGCAGTGGAAAGGCTACATTAGCAGTGTGATAATACATGTGCTGTTACATGCGCTATTGGAATTCTAATTTCTCACAATTATATTCCTGCCTTTTACCAGTCATTGTATTATACTGTGACTGAAACCTATTAAAGCTTCAGTTTTGAGGGAATAATTATATTTATCATGCTGTGTCCATGTTGTATATCAGAGAACCATTAATACATACCATGGAATAGGTGGGGTTTGAACCCATGACAAGTGAGTGCTAAAACTCCAGGCCAGTGCATTAACCATTGGGCCAGTTGGCTATGATAAGATTCATCCAACTAGGTATATTTCTATACACCATAGGGAGGTTAGCATGGGCCACCACTGTGACCACAAATGTAAGTTTTTACAAATGAATCACCCAGTGTGGCTGTGGCAAACTCTAGTTTAAGTCCCCTCAAAGCCGTGAGTTCATCCCTACCTGTTCTATGGTTTGTTTGCAGTTGTGTTATTTCAATTTTGTGAGTCATTAATACATACTTGAAAAAGTTATAACATCAAATGAAAAATTAATTCCTTCCTGAATTCAGTGCTCATTCACTCAAAATTTTTAATTTATTTAAATATGTACTCAATTCTAAAAACATTCTTTGTGCTCGTTATAAGTAATGGTTCATAATGTAAGGTCATTGATGAAATAGCTTAAGAATATAGGAAATATCTAAACTGCTGTAGAGAAAATTGTGAACTAAATTTACTGTTATATTGTGAAGTGTATGACCAGTGAAGTCTGAGCACCTCTATGTGAATATATCAACATGTGTGAGTCACATAAAATAAAATCTATACGAGTATTCCTGTACATTTTTTACACAACACTTGAGTCAGACTTAGCCCTCTAACTATGGAAGACCCTGGGAAAAAATTCTTGTGTGTGTGTGATTTTGAAAAATAAAAAAAATATTTTTTTCTTACAGATCTGATACTTTTTCTTACATATCTGATGAAACTTATGATATATGGTGCTGAAGTTGGTGAAAAAAATTTATCACTAATTGGTAACAGTGGTGTTAAAGTAATAACAATGTTTACATTTTACAATTATTGATTCTAATATATGATTATTTTTCTGTTCATTTTTAATTGCTTTTAATTTTTAAAACTATATATACTAGTTTTTATAATATTAGATGTGTTTCAAGGTGTTTTAGCATGCAAACATTGCTTCACTTGGAATAATCAATATATATATATATATATATATGATATGACTGATTTTTATTCTTTTTTTTTTTTTTTTTTTTTACTATTTTGGTCCTCTAAGACTTTGTATAAGGAATACTTAGAATTGTTTCAGAGTGCAATACTCCTCAAAACATAGAAATAAGGAATATTGATTGACTTTACTGGGTTATATATATGGTATATATGCTTTATAATTATTTTATTCTACTATTTTGGTCTTTTCTAGGATATGTATAATGAATACTTATAATATTACTATTATTTCCGAGTGTATTACTCATCAAAACATGAAAATTATTCACAGTTTGACTTGACTGGGTTATCCTGGGTTTTATAGTTAGTGTGTTCTGCAGTGGAATTCCACTGTTAGTATCATGAAATTGTAATAAATTTAGACTGAATAAGTCATATTTGAGTCACTTGTACATCTTGTTTGCTGATAGGGAAGCTGGTGGTAGAACAAGAGCTCCTGGTTCATTATTTACTTTTGCTAGTGAGGCGTACTAGTACGTCAGACATAGTCATCACCTGAGTAGTTGATCATAATACATTGTGTGGACACTGCTGGCTTTAGATTTTTTTCAAATGTATGAATAGATGAAAGAAGACTCAAAGAGTTGTGCTGAGGTAAAAAATATTAGCAGGTGGCAGATATTTGGGTACAAAAAATGGTGCATACTAGTACGTAGGACACAGTACCAGTACCTGTGTACTAGTACACTGAGCACAGTACCAGCATCTTTGTACTGTTGCACTGGACACAGTACCAGCACCTATGTACTGGTACATAGGGCACAGTACCAGTGCCTGTGTACTAGTACACTGAACATAGTACCAGCACCCGTGTACTAGTTCGTCGGACACAGTACCAGCACCTGTGTACTAGTATATTGGCCACAGTTAAGAGTTAAGAACAAACATATAATTTTATATATAATACTGTTCCTTAAGCTGGGTGCTTAGCTCCTGGTGATTTTGACCTTAGGAATTTGAGCTATGCCTTGAACTATCCCCTCACATTTTCTAGATACTGTATTGTGTGATTCATACAGGTTTTGGGCTTCCACTTGTTCATATTATTAAAATACATTATTAGAGAAATATAATAATTTTAATTCAGTTTTTAATTCCTAGAGGAGATTATTAAGTCAGTGTTCAGTATGTCTGAAATATTTGTAAAAGAATGTGTTCAAGAAACACAAAATATAGATCACAAAGAAGAAAAACTAACTCAGTGTTTTCAAGATGTTTCACACATGTCTCACCTTGTATCTTGCACTAGAAATCTTCCAGGTGAAAAGACATTTCAGTGTTCAGTATGTCTCAAAGATTTTCCAGATAAATTGAATTTAGTAAATCACAAAAGAACTCATGCTGGAGAGAGACCATATCAGTGTTCAGTGTGTCTAAAAGAATTTTCAGAAAAGTATATTTTATTAAATCATGAGGTAATTCATACTGGAGAGAAGCCATATCAGTGTTCAGTGTGTTTACAAACCTTTTCCCAAAAAGCCCATTTAGTATCACATGAGAAAATTCATACTGGAGAGAAACCACATCAGTGTTCAGTGTGCCTAAAAGATTTTTTAAAAAAGTCTAATCTAGAATCACATAAGAAAACTCATACAAAAGAGAAACCATTTCAGTGTTTAGAATGTCAAAAAAAATTTTCACGAAATTCAAATTTAATCAACCACTTAAGAATTCATACTGGAGAAAAACCATACCAGTGTTCAGAGTGTCTAAAAAAATTTTCAACAAAAGCAAACTTAAGGTGTCACATAAGGACTCATACTGGAGAGAAACCTTATCAGTGTTCACTGTGTATCAAGGGCTTCTATGAAAAACCTCTTTTAGTAAAGCATAAGAGAATTCATACTGGAGAGAAACCTTATCAGTGTTCAGTTTGCTTGAAAGCCTTTACCCACAAGGCTACATTAATATCACATGAGAGAATTCATACTGGAGAGAAACCTTATCAGTGTTCAATATGCCTAAAAGCCTTTGCCCAAAAGTCTACTTTAGTATCGCATGAGAGAATTCACACTGGAGAGAAACCATATCAGTGTTTAGTGTGTCTAAAAGGTTTTCACCAAAAGTCTCAGTTAGTATCACACGAGAGAATACACACTGGAGAAAAACCATATCAGTGTTCAGTCTGTCTAAAATACTTTTCCCATAAGGTTAATTTAACATCACACAAGAAAATTCATACCAGAGAAACCATTTTAGCATCTTAAAGATTTAAAACACAAGATTAAAAGACATTACAATGTCTGATCTAGTAAGCTGTTTAAAAATTTCCTAGGAGAAAATTGTATCAGTGTTCCAAATGTATGAAGTCCATTTATGCAAATGAAATTAGTGCATGTGAATACATTTATAAAAAAAAAAAAAAAAAATTATCATTGTCACTAAATTTTAAGAAAAATGTACTCATAAGTTATATAATAGTTATATATGTTGGATGGTTGGATCTGTGTCCATTGTCTAATTTTTTTGCAGTTGGAGCAATGACAATCTTAGTAATAATGGTAGAATTACCAGCAAAATGCAACTAATGTGTCATTTTATTGTGGCATTGGCTTGACAAAGCTCCTGAAGAGTGAAACGTTGCATTAGTTACATTCATCTGTGTCCTTCTATTTAACCATGATAATCTTATTCTTTGTATGATGCTGATTATGAAGTAATTTTGTTGCTCCAGCAAAAAAAAAAAAAAAATCTTGACTTTTAGTTTTAAGTAATAAATAATAATAATAATAATAATAATAATAATAATAATAATAATAATAATAATAATAATTATTATTTCTAGAAGTACATGTACAAGGTATACAGGCCCCTTGTTATGCATAGCATTTTGGGCATATTAGTCAATTTTGTCCCAGGTTGCAACCCACACCAGTCAACTAACACCCAGGTACCCATTTTATTGATGGGTTAACGTGGACAGCAGGTGCCTTGAGGAGACACATCCTAATGTTTTCTGTTGTACTGGGAAATCGACTCCTGGGCCTCAGTTTGTGAGCTGAGTGCACTAGTGATCGAGCTATGGGACACCACATTATAATTATGTTGAAAATTGCAGTATATGGTACTAAGAGGCTTGTTTTAAGATTGTTTCATTTTCATTTATTCATTGCTTTGGCTTCGTATGTAGATAAAGATTATTGATAAAAGAAAAATTTTCTTCCCAAAATGGACAGGGAGTGATATATTATCAAATTTTAATAAAGTAGTGAACTGTTATGACTATTGATGTGTTTTTTTTAAGTAAAGTCCCTGCCAGTAGGCATCCAAAAGTAGGAAAATAACATACAAGAAAATGCAAGGAAGTGTGCATAATAGTAGAGCAACCATTAACCCATTAATGAGGGAAAGAACTGAGCATTCAAACATGGCTGACTGGCATCCAAACACCAGCTACTGCCAGACGTACAACTAGCGAAGTGAAGTTCTCATCTTTACTGACGTTCATCTGTTGACAGTAGCATCATATCTGTACCACCATCATATCACCTGTATCAGTGCTAACAATAGGGAAACACAGGAGACATCGTCAAATCAACAGTACAAAACTCCAAGGTTATAGGACAGTTATCCCTCAGTGCCAGTCGTGGGAAAGAAGTGAATAGTTAAAAAGTCAAGGTTAATGTTTTAGTAGCTGACCTATATTCAGCTGACCTGTGTACAGTGAGAGAATTATAGCAGAAAACGCCAAATATATCAAGGAAAGTCAGGTTGTAGGTGGCGTTTACTTCCCTCAGTGTTTTAAAAATGGCCGAGTCAGCAGATCAGGTCAGGCAGACAACAACACCACACAACCCCCGATAAATGGAATTGAGGGGGTTTTGGAAGGATAAAACCATTGATTAAACCTTTCTGGTACCAGAATGGAAAGGAGTTAGAAGTTAATAGGTGAAGCCGGACTGTGAAGTGAGAGCATTCACATTGCTAAACTCACAAACTAGTATTTAGTCACTTAGCCATAATACCAACTTACCTCATAATTTTGTAATATTTTAAACTTAAGATTTAATTTAAGTCTGCCTGAAATGCTTAGCCATGCTAGGTGTTCTAGTGGTACACTCAAATTCAAATTCAAAAAGTTTATTCTCTATAAAGATTACAATGTTGAATTTACAGAATTTGGTTGTTGTGTGGTTTACATGTAGTTAAATAATGATTACAGAGTGTACCACTAGAACGCCTAGCATGGCTAGGCATTTCGGGCAGACTTAGTTTAATTCTTTATTTTAAAATATTACAAATTATGAGGTAAGTTGGTATTATGGCTAGGTGACTAAATACTAGTTTGTGAGTTTACTACATGTAAACAATACAATAACCAAATTCTGTAAACTCAGCATTGTAATCCTTATAGAGAATAAACTTTGAATTTGAATTGAGGCAGGAAGGGGAGTGTGTAATAAGGGGTTAACTGAAAGGGGTTTGTGAAGTTAAGGCAAAGTGAGCAGTGAAGAGGGTTTTGAAGAAGAAAATTTACTAGTAATTCAGTGGTGATTGCTAAAGCAGATACTAGGGTGTACTAGGTGACTGGAAAAGAGAAATAAATATTATTGTATATGAGTAAAAGAGCGAAGAGTGAAAATGGCAGGCATTAGGGGGGTACAGGCTGCCATAATTATATTTATCTTTCTTCAATTCCATGAAGAAAGAAATCAGCCATGGGGGCTGGAAAAGGTGAATGGAGTAACAGCACCCTGGACAGTAAAAGCCTAACAGTTGCCATCCTACCAGAAAAGTAAATGTCACTATCGCTGCAAGGTATGGCAACACCGCATACCCAAACAAAAACAGTGGCACACAGCTCTTATTGTAGCGCTCTTAAGTGGTGATATCCAAATTAATCCAGGACCTCAAACTATTGTGCAGAGGCAAAACAGACAGATAAATGATGGTGATAATGACGGTCTAGTAGCTAGGAATGATAACCTTAACTCCATATGCTGATGACACGACTTATGTCATCTCTCACCCTAATCTTGCCACCCTCAACACCATTGTGAATGAGGAGCTGATTAAAATATCGACTTGGATGACAGCCAATAAACTTAAGCTTAACACTGACAAAACTTACTATATTATGTTTGGTAGCAGAGCAGGAGATGCACAAATTAACATTAAGACTGACAACACTCTAATTACCAGAAATAATGGGGGAAAATTCCTAGGCTTATACCTTGACAACAACCTGAATTTCAGCACCCATATCCAGCATATAGCCAAAAAAGTATCCAAAACGGTTGGGATCCTCTCCAAGATACGATACTACGTGCCGCAAAATGCCCTTCTCACACTATACCACTCACTTATTTATCCATACCTCACCTATGCTATTTGTGCTTGGGGATCAACTGCAGCAACACACCTAAAGCCAATAATAACCCAACAAAAAGCTGCAGTAAGAATAATCACTAAATCCCATCCCTGGCAGCACACCCCCCCACTCTTCAAAGATCTAAACTTACTCCCAGTTCAGTACATCCACACTTACTACTGTGCAATCTATATCTACAGGGCCTTAAACTCTAATATCAACCTTGACCTAAAACGCTTTTCTTGATAGTTGTGACAGAACGCACAGGCATAACACCAGACACAAACATCTTACGACATTCCCGTGTCGACTAAAACCTTTACAAAAATTCAATGTATGTCAAAGGCCCTAAAATCTGGAATACCCTACCTGAGAACTCTAGAACTGCAGACACATTCATCACCTTCAAAACTACCATTAGAAAACATCTTATCTCCCTGATACACCCCGTCAACTAACTACACGAATACCACCTGGTGGTTCACACTTACACTTGCTCACTCATTTGAACCATAAACAGAAATAATTAATCTCAGTCTTAAAATAATGAATCCTGTATACTCCAATACTGAAACTATAACTGTGCCAAAAACAAAAGCATTCACATTGCTAAACTCATAAACTAGTATTTAGTCACTTAGCCATAATACCAACTTACCTCATAATCAACCATACCCCCGGCCGGGATTGAACCCGCGGTCATAGAGTCTCAAAACTCCAGCCCGTCGCGCTAACCACTAGACCAGCTAGCCTCAATAAGATTCATCCAACTAGGTATATTTCTACACCATAGGAAGGTTAGCACAGGCACCTCTGTGACCACAAATGCAAGTTTTTACAGACGAATCTCCAGCTAGCGTGGCCGTGACGAACTCTAGCTCAAGTCCCTTCACTGCCGTCAACATGACTTAAGAAATCGTAATGACACGATTGCAAATAAACCATACCCCCGGCTGGTCTAGTGGTTAGCGCGACGGGCTGGAGTTTTGAGACTCTATGACCGCGGGTTCAATCCCGGCCCCCTCAAGGAAGGTTCCTTGATGTTGGTGAGGGGCTCTTGATTTAGGGAATTGGATCTGTGCTCCAGTTCCCCGAATTAAGCCTGAATGCCTTCCACATATCCCCCCCCCCAGGCGCTGTATAATCCTCCGGGTTTAGCGCTTCCCCCTTGATTATAATAATAATAATCAATCCCGGCCGGGGGTATGGTTTATTTGCAATCGTGTCATTACGATTTCTTAAGTCAAGTTACCTCATAATTTGTAATATTTTACAATTAAGAATAAAACTAAGTATGCCCGAAATGCCTAGCCATGCTAAGCGTTCTAGTGGTACACTCTGTAATCACAATTTTACTACATGTAAACCAAACAATAACCAAATTTCTGTAAACCCAGCATTGTAATCCTTATAGAGAATAAACTTTGAATATGTAATGCATACATAGGTCAATGTGAGACAATACAGCCATTATTATCTCAAACACTACCAAACAGGTGCATACACTGTACTAAAGTACGCATGAAAAACAGAAAAGGCACCTTATGTAAAATGTGTAAGGGGTGGGTGCATGATGGATGTATGTATAATTAAAGCAACGGTGCCAGAATTCATTTTGTGTGTAACAAATGCACTTTGGCACAGTTACCCTTTAACAATGATGACATTGATTTACCTAATTTTAATACAAATGACCCATTGCCATATACTGATGATTATAATTGTTTTATGAAAACAGGCCTTCACTTTATTCATGTCAACGCAAGATCACTTCTTCCTAAATTGGCAGAGATTAGGATTCTAGCCAACAAAATTAGGGCGGCAATTATAATCATCTCTGAATCCTGAGTGGATGATACGGTGACTGACGACGAGGTCAAAATAGAAGGTTACAATATAAAACGCTTAGATAGGAACAGAAAGGGTGGTGGAGTATGTGCCTACATTAGAAATGACTTCCAGATTGTTCCTTAAATTATTGTTCGTATTGTAATATTACTCGCACAAGTTAAAAAAATACTACTAAAATAGTTTATATACTTAATACTTGGTCGGTACAGATTCTCAACAGTACTTTAAACCTTTGTTAAATCTTTTCTCTATGGACAGAATACCTGGTATACTTGTTGCTTGACCTTACCTAGCATCAGCCAATGGGCCTGCTAGCATTCCCATGTTCTTACATTCTTGTTTAATTAAAGTTTTACTTAAATAACAAAGATGCTTGTAACCATCCTATACTAAACACTGGGCTACACCCTTCCATCAGGAGCCACATGCCATGATGGCAGTGGTAATTTTCATGGTGGTAATGTACACGTAAAATATTTTCTTGGCCAAGGTCTGTGACGTGTCCTAGTGAGTTCTTCAGTACGTAATGTTTGGAGTTTCCCATACCCATCGTTATAGATTCTGTTCATACTCAGAATACTGTAGTCAAAGTTGCTGGTAGATGTATCACGGAACAAAGTATTAGCACACAATGTGGCGAGCGGTCTAGTTTGAATAAGAAAATAAGTGGTTGTATCCACGGTCATGTAGTATCGGTATTCTCGTACCTCGCCTGACGTTCAGCGCAGGATGAAAAGCTCATAGTTAAACGAAACTAAGTATAACTGCTTATTTTAATACGAAGTGGTAGCTTTACTTCCAGGTAATGATGCTGTAGAAAGAAATGACGCAGTTTCCAAAGTTGTTTATCTCTGGATCTGAAAGTGGTATGAGAGGGCCTACTGTATGGCTACTCGGTCCATTGCCTACATCAATATTGTACACTTAACACGGTGTAACAACGGTGGCCCTAACTATGAACGCGATTATTTGAGCTAAAGTTTGAATCTGCTTGGTTCCCACTTTTAGTGCGTGGAAACGTGCCCCTTAAGGAAAGTAATTTTTTGTTTATAATAGATGTAAT